GCGTATTTCTAAATATGTGTACTCTTTTTCCTTCATTAGGATTTTTTTCCCATAGGGTTTTTTTTCTAATAAGGTTTTAACGAGGCACATTATTTATGGACATCCAAGGGGGAGTGTTATGATAAAAATCAAAATATGGTGGATGTCTACTCTTCCTCCATGATCTTTCTCTCAAATGGTTAATGACATATTCAATGACATATTTTCTATGTTCAATGACATATTCCATGATATATTTTCTTCACTTTTCATGCCTATATAAAGACCTTGTAATAGATAGGAAAATACACACAATTGAAGAAGAAAATCTCTTCCTTCTCTCTATCTTTATTTCTTGTTCATATTTTACTAAATTGCTTTTATTTCTTGTTCATATTTTACTAAATTGCTTTTATTTCATAACAAACTTTAATTTCATTTGATTTATTGTGAATAATGCACACTCCTAAGTCCTAACAACTAGATTCTCAAAGGACACAAATGTCATTTTCTGAAACAGTTGGAGAAGAAGTACAATTTTTATCAAAGTATCCAACAAGTCAATTCCCCTTCATTCCTGGATGAAATCACATTTTCTCATTTCCATTAGAGACGAACAGAAGGACAGAGACAGAGAAAAACAAATGGGGGCAGTGACGACGGCATTGATAGCAATAGCAGGTGTGATATTGGGCTGGATTACCATTGAAATGGCTTGCAAGCCTTGTCTTGAAAAGGGCCGTGACGCCATTGATCGGAATCTTGATCCGGATTACGACCCGGATGATCAAGACAACAACATACATGCCCCGCTGAATCCTGACCCGAACCCGTCTGAGGATTCGGATTCTACTGCTGTCCCTGTGGTCAAAACTGTCTGATCTTATCCTCGCTCTCCTTTTTGGTACTTGCTGAGTTACCCGAATACGAAATTTTACTGTATGTAATTTTTTTTTTAAATCGTTTTGCTGTTTGGTTTGATTGGAATATTGGGTAACAGAGTGTAAGAGAAAAGATTTGGTTCATTTGGGTTTCTAATAGTTTTCTGTTTATGTAATTGCGTGATGACACTGGAACGGATTATTGTGGCTATGTTGTAATAGATGTCAAATTGCTAATTTAGTCTATTAGTTATATCAGTTAATTAGTTGCGCCTCAATCATAAACTAGAGTCTAACTGCTCTTTCACACATGAAACTGCTACTGTATATTTGCCATTCTGTCCTCTTTAAAATGTTCTTTGTCAGTACTGCTTTTCCTTAAACTAGGCAGCTGAAGCATGCTACTTTATATGTATCACAAGTTTTTGAGATTCTTTCCATGGCCGAGGCCAGTGAGTTTTCCAAATTTTTGCGCTGATACAAGTGAATTGTAGGCTGATCTTAGCTGAAATTGTGTTCAATATTCTCCTGTGACCAAACAATTTTATCTACACCTGGATCCTTGAAAATGAACAGGGATGTGTTGCCTGCCTCCTCCATTTTGTGTGGAAAGGTTCTTTGATTGTGTTCTTGCCCTTTTATCGATACCCTGGAATATGGAGAACTCTCACTTTTTCACTGATTAACATGTGAGAGGTCCATGATAAGCTTCATGTCCTGCTAAATAAGTCCTTTGGTGAACAAAAGATGTTCAATAGTCTCTATTGATGTACAACAACAACCTAGTAAAATCCCACAAGTGGGGTCTGGGGAGGGTAGAGTGTATGCAGACCTTACCCCTACCTCCGGAGGGGTAGAGAGGTTGTTTCCGAAAGAATAGTCTCTATTGATGTATTACTTTAAAATGCCACCACCCTTTTTTTCCCCTTCTCTTTTGATGGGAAAGCTAAAGATTTTATTTATAAAATAACACTAATGTTGTTTGTGATGATATACAGAAAGCTGTTATATAAAGTACTGACAAACTACCAGCTAGAGTCTAATTTCTGTACATAGAGTCGGTGTTTCTTTTCTGCTTAATATACATATTCCAAGTTACACCACTATGCTAACAGAAAGATGATAACAGAGATATTCCTTTACTCTCGAAGCATCTCTAGTCCTCGTGCCGAGGGTCTACTGGAAACAACCTCTTTGCATTCACTGTACGGTAAGGTATGTGTACTCACTACCCTCCCCAGACCCCACTTGTGGATTATCCTGGGTTTGTTGTTGTTGTTGTGGTCTCGAAGCGTCTCTGGTACACTTGCAGGTCAAAGTTCCAAATTCTTTTGATTGAGTTACTCATTCCCCTTCTTGCCCAGCATAGAACCGGGTCTCATTTTCTTCAGGAATTTTCTCCCGTGACCAAAACCATTTTTTCTATGCAGAAATTTAACAGTAATCTGTAGCTTACCGTCTTCATTTTGTTTCGAAAGGTTCTTTGATTGTGTTCCTGCTCTTTTACGGATACCCTAGAATCCGGAGAATTCTCACCTTTTCACTGTTTAACATATGAGAGGTCCACTACATGTGGCACTATACACTGAAATACAAAATATTCAAGAAAATAATTGAGATCTCACTTCTGTTTCTCAAATGTTTCTGCGAACTTAAGGTGATTGCACTTGTAGCAGTAACCTTTCCTACATAATGGTTGGTCAATGCTTTCTGAGTATGTGTCATTATAGTACAGCAATGTTCTGCCATTATTTATTCTGAAAGTTAACCAGTCAAGAGAACACATAGTAAGGGAAAAGGATCAAGGTGACAATACTTCAAGATTAAAAATGTTGTTCGAGGAAATGGATAGGAAGGTATGGAGGTTGAGAATAAAGGTAAAGGGTTAGGTAACCGAGCATTGTCCTTGTTTGTTACAGTAGCTTTAGTACATGATTTAGTGTCATTTGTGTATTTCATACTCCTTGTTTTTTGTTATTACTTGTTGCTTTCATTTCGGTTTTCAGATTGCATTACCTAGTGTTAGTTCAGTATTTTCGCTTCAGTTTTCTAATTGGTGTGCTTGTTATTGCCCTTCCTTTTATCTTCCTAAGCCGAGGGTCTATTGGAAACAGCATCTCTGCCTTCTTAAAGGGTAGGGGTAAAGTCTGTGTATACAGTACCCTCCCTAGACTCCACTTGTGGGATTACATTAGGATTGTTGTTGTTGAGGACAATGTCACTCGGGCAATTATTCGAGTAGGCCAAGTGAAGTATATGGAAACATGATTACAGCACTTATGCTGGGCGAACGTGATCAAGCTATAAGACCCTGGAAGAATGCGAGAATAGACGTGTCATTATGTTTACAACTTACATTTTCATTTCCTTTTTGCAGCTTAGATTTGATATTCATGCTGATTTAAAAGGTGTGTTTGTATGTTTGAAACTCAGTATTGCAGATGTTTTCCATTCCGAGGATGATAGTTTCTGTTAATAATCTAAGGGTCTTGGCTCCTGGAGTAGTGTTTTTGGTGATAACTGATATAATATCTTGGCGTTAAATGCCGTTTCTTTAACATGGAACCAGTGATGCTGGTGAGAGCATTTTTAAACTCTACTTCTCTACATTTATATGTAACTGGAGTTGGATCAAGAAGACTTTGATCAATGGGGCTCTCACTCGTAATAAATGTATTTCAAAATAATATATGCCGTCAACCAACCATAATATAAACTTAGTCATACACTTAACCCCGGCCATCTCATTTTTTGTCTCACCTTATCTCATCAATCTAGTGTTCTTTTATCCCACCTCCCAGGTGAGATAAATTAATTGAAGGATTATAATCCCATGACTATAAGCCCGCGTACTAAAACAACCCCTAAGGGTTATAGATCAAACGAGACAACTGAAAATATAGAGATGAAAATCAGCCACTTGCAACATCATTTAATTTTTTGCATTTCATGCAACCGTGAAGCTTATTATGACAAGATACTCCCATTTGGCCAATTACTTAACACCAGCTGCATTTATACCCATTCCAATTGTCTTCTAGTTAAGATCACAGCAGATCCATCCAACAACATGCTGTCAACATTCAACATAGAAATCCCTAATGTTCCAGTATTACAAGCTACACAAATGGTAACAGACTAGTGCCTATCTCTGCTCAGCACCAAGAAAAAGCCCCCAAAATCTGTAAAAGCTACAGAGCTGATACTAAACCTAAAGAATTGACATGGGTTTTGGATCTAAGGACCCATTTCAGCCTTCAACTGAATCTCTTCAATGGATCAGCTGCCTTGCCAGATCTTGCATCAGTCCAAGCTTTTGCAATCGTCCGTTTCATCTCTTCATCACCGTCCTCATACATGTTCTGAAAATAAAAACAGTACTCATCACATCGTAATTGAAAACAAACAAGAAAAAACGGAACTTTAGCAAAGAAGTGATAAGTCCACATAATTAGATGCTGCCAATAAAAGCTGTTACCTTCATCAAATCCATAATTCCAGCCATGGGGTCTTTCTCCTTGTCCAAATTTGGCTTAAACTGCAGCATAACAAGAATGACATGGTTATTAAACAAGCACCATAATCAGAAAAGCGAATTATGAATCCGTGGAACAGGTAGTTACCTTATCCTCTTTGTAATGCAGATCCAACCAGTTCCCTTTGGAGGCTTTGGCCAACGTGATAACAACCCTTGTGGGTTTCACGAGCACCTTACATTTCTCAGGTACAATCTCCTTGTTCAATTTTGGTAATGAGAAGCGGTAGTTCTTCCCGTGTACATCCTGGAACTTAGCATCAAATGACATAGGCTTGAACTCAGTTACCATTTTCTCCTGATCAACTCCTTCCAAAGAGAGATAAATCTGCATAGGAGCACAATGAGCCATGAGAAAGAGAGAAACAAAAATGAAGGTTGCAGAACTGGTCGAGAACTGATAGGAATTTTATAGTTAAAGTAGCAACTCTTTTCCATATTTCTGTTCTATGGTCCAGTGAAGGTATTTCAGAATTAGATGGATGAGTTGTTACAACTGTTGAAAGGCCGAAAATCCATCTATCTCATCTCTGTTTTGGAAACCATAACTTGTATACAAGAACGCTTACACATTTAAATACACATTGAGGGGCTCAACCTTAACCCTTCTAATGAACAGATCGTACCTTCACTTTGTCATTGTCCTGATCCCAACTGAATGATGCAACAGAGACATAGTTCAGTAATTGGCTAGGGGTCACCTTCGCGGCAGTTGAAACTGGAGCTGCTGTTTGCAAAGATGCCGCTGAAGCACTGTCTTTTGACAGCTGCAGAACAGCAAAAAGACATCAAGGAGATGGAATATCTTTTCAGAATTTTCATACTTGTCCACAGATAACCTTATAAGGAGAAAAGATCACCTAGAGCACCAAATTCACACGTATAACCCTCTCATAACAGCAACCAAACAAGTACAGATGAATCTCTTCTGTATACATCGGATTCAAGAAGAATGACTATGTCAACAGAGTAAAAAAGCTCGGCTCTCACTATATTTATGTCCAACTGATAAGCATCAGATAAAGCTTGGCTACTACAGAGCAATGCGATATTGCCACAAAGTTCTAATCCCATTCATGTATTCCTCAAGCAATTTGTGGAAGGGATAACCTTTATAAAGGTTAAATAAATGATAATGATCATCATCATAATTCTCCAGAGTAGCTAGTGATTAGTGTGTGTTGACTTGGTTTATCTGCAAAATTTTACTTCAACCAATATTATCATGTATGGCACACATTTTCCAGCGACTGGACTAGAACCATTAACTCTAGAAAATTCTACTAATGCGTCACAGATTGGTTATACAAGACCCATTCTATAATCACTAAAATATTCTTTGTTTCTATTTGACAAGGAACGAGTATAATAACTAAAATATCTCTAAGGAACTGAAATTAGTTTGGAATTACCAAACAGCAGAAAGAAACATTTATAGATTCCTCAATACAACTATTACGATCAGCTCTAAAAGTACTTCAGCAGCACCCTCAAGGGTCGTTTGGTTGGCAAACAAGTTATCTCTGAATTAATTATCCAATATCAATCATCTCGGGATTGTTATCCCACCCTCTCATAGGAATAAAAATAACACTACAATAACAAGATAACTATCCTGGGATTAGTTATACTGCAATTCTATCCCAAACAAACATGGGATAAACTCACCTCAAACTTAAGTACCAAACTAGCCCTGAGTATACCTTCCAAACAGAGACAGAGCTAGAGAGTAGTTTATGAGTTCGGTCAAATCCGATAGTGAACTTTATATTTGTCTTAAGAAATCTATCAAAGAAGTATAAATTATTAATTTAGAATGCAGGAACTTAAAATGACTAGAATCCCAAAACTGTATGCTTTCAAATTCTAGCTTCGCCTTTGCTTCCAAACCCCATCCTACAAACTCCAGGGATTATAATGGATTTTTATCTGGCAATCTTTGACGGGAGCCGTGAAATGAGACAAAGACAAGCCTTCTTTTTACTTCATTTTTATTATGACCAAGAAATCTGTCCAGGTCCAACCCGTAGGGCGAACTGCAGCCTTCAGAACTTGGAACATAAACCCTTCTTCACTTAAATACAAAGCTCAATTCTTTTCACTGCATTGTAGATCGTTCTATAATTCAATGAACCATAGGAACTTTGGGCTACTTTCACTCTAACAGTTCTATGATTCAACCTGCTAAATCAAAATCTAAACGAGACACACCATTTATTATATAAGCATTAGAAGAGATAGAAATAACTGCAGCCCCACATGAAAAATCCTAGCACAGTATAGTCGATTAAGAGAAGACACATACTTATTAGTAAAAATCTATTAATCTAACTCAGTTTATCGATTTGGTACAAACGAGTCATTTTTCCCCATAAAATCCAATAAAAGGCACATTCTTGAGATGTCAACATAAGAACCACTCGTCAAACAATAGTAAACATAGAAATAACAAAAGAGAAACTAAAAGAGAAAAAGTTATAGTTGAAAAAACCTTCTCCAAGTTACGAATCTCAGAGGAAATGAGAGAAACAACACGAGGGCGTTTCGCTATGTTCTGAAGATGCTTAAGTTCCTCCAAATCCAAAGCTAAATCGTTTGCTGCCATTTTCTACTTTCTTCTTTCAGAAAAAGAATATTGAATCCTGGGGTTAAGAAGATTTCTGAGGTTTTATAGTAGGATAGAAAATGCTAGAAACTAATTGATAACATTAAGTTCTAGAAGGAAGCTTCCGGACCTAGTGGCGCGTGGGATAGCGGGGAGAAATTGAAAAATATCAAGATTTACAATTGGTCGTTCAAAAATAGCTCAGTTTCAAAAGTAATCGAAATTTAGTCACTTTTGCCCGAAAAATATGCCAGTATATTATACTGGAGTTCCAGCATAAGTATGTTTGAACTCCAGCATATTATACTGGAGTTCCAGCATAAGTATACTAGAACTCCAGCATAATATACTAGAGTTCCAGCAAGTATAATTGTCCAGTATAATATACTAGAGTTTGGAGCACCGGTGCTCCAGTCTCCAGTATATTAAACTGGAGTCAGCAAAGTATATCGGTCCAGCATAATATGCTTGAATTCATACACAGGTGCACCGAACTCCAGTATATTATGCTAGACCGATCTCTGTTGCAGCAAAATAGTGGCTATTTTTCATTGACTTCTTAAACGCTGGCTATTTTTTAATAATCAGTCCGAAAACTGACTATACCGTGCTATTTTTACGGAATAGTGTGTTTAATGGGCCGGATAATCCAAGTTAGCCGGCCTGGCTCAGAGGGAAGCCTGATGATGTAATCGTTTTTAAATTGTAAAATAATATTTCTACTTAGATAAGAAAAAACATTATTTAAGAATTGTGAGCACGTGATTTTTGCTTCACGGGACAATCGCTCCAAAAGAAATAAAAAATAACGACAATTGATCCTGTTGTACAATTTTTGGATTTTTTATGGCACTTCGTTAATTATTTATGACTTTGGCCCATTTTTACTTTATTAAAACAAAATACAAAAAAAATGTATGTGTCATGCATAATCTGAACCGTAACAAGGTTGTTAAATAGAAAGGCATAAAACAGGCATCTTTGTCCGTGATTTTGTTTTGTTTGATTTTACCTGTTTTGAAATATTTTTAGTGTGTGTGCAAATAATTGTATTGAGTGTGTATTTAATTTTAATTTGATTTTTGCTTAGTTTTGTTTTTAAAATAAATAAGGAAAAGAAATAAAAATAATAA